TATTTGAAGTAGAATTCACTTATGTGAGTTATGCTTAACCTTCTGGGTATTTTGCTCTTTCAGACTATTTGAGATGGTAGAACCAATATTTTGTTTGGACATTGTTTCTAATTAAGCAGATATGCCAAAATTGTCATTAAAGAGTAATAACATTTGCTTATAACTGAGAATACATATTTCATTCTCAAGAGGTTGATATAAAACAAAAACATCATTAATGTTAATAACAGTCATGTAAAACTACCAATATGCTGATAAAATGGTTAGAAAATGGTTAACAAATTTGAAAGACAAGATACATTAAATATTAATCATCTGCCTGGCAACATATTGAATAAAGTTCCTTTGACAGAGTCAGAGATTTATGATGATTGAACAGACTAATTAAATAATTACACATTTTGAATGAAAAAAATATACGTAGTTCATTAAAATAGATACTCCAACTGTACTCCTCTGGCTAAATTCTACTCAGACTCTAAGTGTGCATTTTAATTAGAACAAAAGACCAACATTAACTTCAATACAGAATAATAATTCATAATATAATTGCATATTAATCTATTGAGCTTATAAGAATATAGCCCATGACATATGCTATAGTACCAGCACTTGTGTGGTCTTTTGGTGTCTGAAGTGGTGCATATAAATTAGCCCCTGGAAAACAAAATCTATTTTCTCAGAGAAAATTTACTTCCATGCTTATTGGCTTAAGACATCAAAGGAATGAGATGGAATACTGTTAGGCTCCACTGCACTTATTAAAACATTATGTGGATATAGCAATGGATCAGTTGTGTCTGAGTTGATTCTTCAGTATATCCTGAATAGAAAAATAGAGTAGCTATACATTTCTTTGGCTTTGATGATTTGATTTTGGTTGAAAATATTAAAACTACCATTTTGATTACACAGTAAGCTCTGAACCTGTATAATTCCAACACAAAACAGCATCAAAAAAATTAAAATTTGAAGCAGCTTGCACTTCTTGCATATTACCTGAAACAAACTCAGCTTAGTCCATTTGTCTATAAAGACTGATCTATTCTGAACACAGGATTATAATGTTTTCAAGAACTATGTCATCTTGCAAGAAGCCAGGACTCATGATTCTTGTCATCTCGGCTACCCTGAAGGTACTCGGGAGAACGATGCAAATTTACTAAACTAAAACTCTGGCTGATGAATAGACACATTTATCTTGAGATAGATAGAACTCAAAATCAGTTCTCTTGGGAAAAGAAGTCTAAGCCTATTGTCAAAATGAACCTAGAAAATGAAAACAGAAAAATTGACTGGAGATGGGGATGGCTGGAGAAAGGGTATATTTTACAGACACCCTTTTTTCTGCATAAAACAAATCCACTTGACTGAAAACCATTGACAGTTAATGTTTAGAACTCTGTGAAGCTTTTTCATATCTTTCAGAATGGTAGGTTCAGATGAAGCTTTTTAATTTAGCAGATCGTATTTGTGTAAGTAATTCAAACATAGTAAGATGCCAGGGGTAGATATTTCTTTTCTCAAATACCCCACTGTTTGTCCCTCCACAACTGGTCTCCCCTTAAGATGTTTTAGTAAAACTATTATATTGTACATATATTTATTGGAATTAGTGGGTCTATTTATTTCTATCAAACACATGGCTTGGTGGAAAAAGAAGTAATTTGTTTTGTTTTGTTTTTATCCTGTTTTCAGTTCTTTTTTCTTTTCTTCTTTCCTTTTTTTCTTTGGTTAATTCTCTTCTGTTGGTGTTTTATTACTCCTGTACCCTTTGTCTTGTACAGAAGTTTATCTGATTTGGAGATGGGAAGGGGAAGCACAGAAACAGTGCAACAAAGGGTGAAACAATCCAGCAGTGAACCCATGAGTGAAACCCACTAGACACTATACAACTTTGGGTGGAGAGCAGTCAGAGGGGAACAATTGGGAGTGAATGAGGGAGGGGAAGACATTATTAAAAAGGAAATGTACTTATTACCAGAATCATGTAACTCTAACCTTTCTGTACATCACCTTTGCAATCTAATTTAAATAATAAAATAATTCCATACTATTAAGCATGTGTGGCCGAGTTACACTTTTAAACCAAGAGGATGACAACTTGTTGTCCTAAGAGGAAACTTAATTTTGGTATAATTAATTACATATAACACAGAATGTCTTAGAAGATTTTTTTCCCAAGCCTATCAGTTTGTTGTATAAATAATTGTTGGTTTTTATTTGAGGCAAAGATGCTGATTCATCACTAGAGAGAAGATAACAAATCATTTCATAACAACTAACTTATTTTTGTGACATTTGTTTTGCCAGTGGAAGAAACTACTCTATGTTATCTGTGTATTTAATTTAAAATATTAATTAGCTGGAGGCTGTAGCTGTAGCTACTTAGGAGGCTGATATCTGAGGATTATGGTTTAAAGCCATCTCAGGAAGAATTAGAACTCAGAATTTTGTAGATTTGGGATTATTACAAAAGTAATATGTCTGGAATAAGAAAACAGATGCTCCGATGCCCTTCTCCTCAATTTTCAATTTGAAATATTCTGATAGAGAGTGCTGATTTTATAACAAGATAGCAGGTCCTTTGTGAAGATGATGTGCTTTGTCCTGACTTCAGGTGTCTTCTTTAAACACTTCCATGTTATCCCAAGTAACTTTTCTCTGTGTCCTTTGACTGGATTCCCTGGGAAGTTGTATTAACCAGATATAATAGAGCAAGCTGGAATTGAAAACAGCATCCCAGCAAAGATGACACCCAACATACTGGCTTGGCTATATGGATTACACAAAAAAAGATTATCTATTCCCGTGTCACCGAAGAAAGAGCAAAGTGTGCTTCAGAAGAAATCACAGAAGCTTACAAAAGCCAGTAGGGCTTTTGCTACTAAGTAAATATATGACCTAATTCAAGTTTCCTAGTCATGATCATGTTTTGTTTTGGTTGAAGTCAGGGTCCTAAGGCTTACACAGGAATGTTTAACAGTTTTTTTTCATCTCTTAGATCTAGGCTTTTCCACAATGTTCCATGGGATTTCTGTATAAACATAAATTTCACAGATATACATCTGTTTCATATGCTTGGGAAAAGAATTTTGTATGCTCCTCTATCTCCTGGCACAATTCTATGTATGAACTATTTTGAGAAGTACCAACCATCTATAATCCATATAACACTTGCCATTAGCTTACTCTGGACTTTATTTTCTTGGATTTCTTGGGGACAATTTAAATGGGATAACTCTGGAGCAGGCTGGATGTAATCATACCACAGCCATAATCCTGTGAGTAAAGAAGTCATAGATATAGAATACATATATAGAATTATTGGATTTTTATAAAAAATTATAATTTAGTTTTTCACCCAGGCCTTTAATAGACTAGTAGATATAGTTAAATAAATTATGGACATGAGAACTCATAGTTAACTGCTGTTTTCAAATAGCAAGTAGCCTATCATATATAAATAAAGCATAATGAGAATTTGAAATATAGAATGTGATTTAGTGGAATAAATTATTTTTAAACAAAAATAAAGAAGAATCTGTTCTGCTTTCAAAAGGATAGTGGGTATGGGAATTTATTTTGGATTCTTTTCTAAGATGATAAACTACCAAACTGAAGCGAGATGGATATTCTTTGTTTTAAATTAAACTCCATATGAAGTACCGAATGAAGATGGAATCAAAGGTTGACCTTTGCTTAAATATTTAAGATCCTTTGAGCTAAGGCTTTCTACAGGCATATTAATGCATATCAGATCTTTGCAGAAAAAGAGAGTATATTGCTACCGACTCAAGAGGAATGAGAGGCTTTTTTGACTTCTTCCTATATATACTCCTGAAGAAGACAAATATTTTCAAATAAGTACCCTGGTTAAATTGTAAGGTAGTTTCATTTCTTATATAAAATTGTGTGCACACAGGCAATTCAAATGAAAATGAAGTTCTGCTTGAATTGCTTAGTTAATTGCCCCAATTTTCTACCTTGCTTTGGGCATACAAACATTACTTAAAATAGGAACGTCTGACCCTTATAAATCAATGAATCAATACTGATAAATTATTTTCCCTCAACTTTAGTTAAAAAAAAATAACATTGGATTTAGGCTCATCCATACCAAATGGACAGTTAGACACACAAGGACTATTTGAAATTTTCTGGTGAATTTATAAACAGAATGGAGAAATGTGTTCAGATATTGATTTTGAAAGAGAAATTTCATGTGAGATATTCTGAATTTGAATTACCTGATACCAAAAGAACATTTTACAAACTAGCTTTAAAGAGAAGAAGCAAAAAGTTTAACCTGACTCTTAATTGGAAGAATTTTAAGTTTGGTGAGATATTGGATGCTGGAATTACTGAATGGTATAGTCACACTAAAAAGCTGAATTTGCCAGAGGGGAGAAGGCTGAAAACATAGGAAAGGCAAAACCAAAAATACTGTCTTCATAAAACACAAAAACACTATCTTCATGGAGCTGGGAAGGTGGCTCAGTGGTAGAGCGCTTGCCTTGCATGCGCATGAGGCCCTGGGTTCAATTCCCCAGCACCACATAAGCAAAAAGAAAAAAAAAAAACCAGAAGTGGCTCTGTGGCTCAAGTGGTATGGCGCTAGCCTTGAGCTAAAGAGCTGAGAAACAGCTCCCAGGCCCAGCGTTCAGGCCCCACGACTGGACCCAAAAAACAAAACAAAACAAAAAACAACACTGTGTTCATAAAACTAGATGCATGCATATAATATCCCAGTTACACCATAGCCATTACTAAGAGTAAAGAAAGAAAAAAATTAAGTTTTCATCAGGCATTTAAAGTCTTCATTAATTGATAAAATCAAATGTATATATATTTTTAGAATAAGTTTATTTTTCTGTCAGTAGTGTAAAAATACTTTGGTGCTTTTTGGTATTTTGGGTTTTCAATCTGAAACTTTGCCTTTTTTTTTTTTTTTTTTGTATTGGTCTTGAAGAAATTATTTAGAATTCTGTGACAACTACCTTGCATTAAGGAGGAGCTTCAGAAAAGAAGGAAAAAAACTCCTGGATGCTTTCATTTTATGGATGCTTTGTTTCTCTTATTTTAACACAAGCCAGAGAAAAAAGAAGAAAGAAATAATTTCTTTCTCATAAGACATACATCACTCCTGAAACTCTTATAAATCAACTTGGGCAAAGTTATGGCGGGAGGGGGAGCTCAAAGCTAGTCACCTTATATGTTGTTAGGAAAAAAATTTGCATTTAAATTGCACTGTGCAGCTATCTGGAGATTTTTCCTTGGAATGTTTATAGCTCCTATTTTTTCATTAATACTTAAAAAATACAATTTCATAAACAGTGTATTACTACATTGAGTTGTGTTAAGAAGAGAAACTTCATTTCAGAAAATAGTAACATTCAAAGTGATTTTGGGCAACCCATTCAGAATACTTGGAAATCATTACACTGAACATTTCATAGAGAAGTTAATCTGAAACTCTATCAATTCTCCATTTCTATTCTAAAAGCTTTCATTAAGAACATGTCCTGTCCACAGGAATGAAGGTGCCCAAAACTTCTTGAAATTTGACCCCCCATAAAAAACACTTTATATATAAAAATACAGCAGATGTCTTTTTAATGGATAAATCTTAAGTATTAACTCAATAACTTGCATTTACCTATTCAGAAATAGATATATGAATATCAAATGTGCAAAATGTGTTTCATATGTTCATTAAAAATACATTGGAATAATAAGAAAAGCAATTGGAAAAAAGTCTTCAATGTCAGAAAATCTGGTCAGATTAGAGATTTTTCTTGCAGAATTGTAAACAGTTGTTTTTTTAATACAAGAGTTTTCTCAGTTCTTTCCATCCAAGACATTCTCGAACACATGGAGTCCTGCTTTGAAGTACACCTGAGCTGAATTAATGCTGCTCCACACATCTGATATGGCGGCTTGGAAGGTTTCATTTGATGGCTGTGACTCGCAGTGCTCCAGGATCTCCAGGAGCACTGAGAACTGTGGTGTCTTCTCATCCATGCGGTACAGGATGTTTCTAAAAGGAAATGTGGAATGCATAAATGTTTAATGCACAAGGCTGCTTTCATAGCGAAACGTAATGAGTATTGCCAGGAAGCAGAGAGGTCTGCAATAGAAGATGCTATTATAAAAGTGCAATATCACCACTTTGCAACCTCTAGTGAATTAATGTGAATGGTCATTGATCATCAGTAGTTTGACATGTTGATGAGACAAGATGAGAGATATTAGACATTATATGCTTCCTGGTAGAAACACATGACACTATAAGAATGCAAAAGAAATTTTCTAACATAAAATTGAATAAACTCTGATAAAGCTTCTAAATATAATTGCTAACAAATATAAGAGATTGTGTTTATGTTAAATTATACCATGACATGTCCTAGCAAAGTACAGAACGTGGGGATGCCTACATGAAAAGTGATTCAATTTATTTTAAAAATTACTTAGAGTCAAACAGTTGGGAAGGATGAACCTTCAGACCAAGGTTTGCTGACTCTGTTCACTTAACATTTTGGTCTGTATTATTCATTATGTGGCAGCTAACCTGTATTTTATAGGACAACTAAGAGTAACCTTGGTTTTGTGATGGTAGATACCAGTAGCATCTCTTCTTCTTTCATTATTTTTAGTTGTACAAAGAGGTTTCAATACAACATGTCCATTTATGAGTGCAATGCATCTTGATTGATGTCATCCCTTCCGTTATTCTATCCCATTTCTCCCAACACCATTCCTCCTTTAGACGTAAGCACACACAAACATTTATATTTACACACACACACACACACACACACACACACACTAAATAAAAGAGATAGGTAAGAATGGCAATGATAAATTTGGTTTTTTGGAAAATGTGGAGACTATTTAGTTCAGAGGAAAATGACAAAGACGAGCTGTCTAGTGATCGTTGAGTTTGATAAAGTAGATGGAGAGAGCTAGAGCACAAAATTTAATTGATTCACAATTTGACATTGTAAAACTCAAAATTGCTCTTTCTGGCTTTGCCATCCTCTTCCACCTCACTCATTTTGAGCTTTTCCACATGGACTTTTAGGTAGTTAGGAGGCATTGAAATCGCCATGGCCAGAACTCAGGAAAATGAACAATGGGATGGGTGGCATTGGCCAAGATACATGATACTCAAAACCTGACTTATGGAATTGTAACCTCTGTGTGCAATCATTTAATAATATTTGGAAATTTTTTGTAACAGTTTGTGATACTATTTGGATAATTGTTTAATAATATTAAAGGAAATTAACTCTTTGCCTTACATATCCAACTTACCTCTCCTATGTGCATGTCTTTTTTCTCTGTTGTTATAGCCTGACTCTGATCAATGTTTCTTTTTCTTTTTATAATGTACATGTTATTTTAAGAAGCCAGGCCTAGAGCTGTTTGTTGTTAGTGTTTTGGTCAAAGCTGGTGCTCTGCCACAGAAGCCACATCTCCACTTTCAAGGATACTTTTTAATGTCCTTTCCTATTACTTTATCAGTTTCAGGTGTCATTATTAATCATTATATAACAAATAGAGTTCCAGAATTTCTGAGTATAATGGTTTCAAAAACAATATCAAATATTTCCATTCTCTGAGGACATTTTGTTCAGAATGCTAACAAACAAAAGTCATTATAATCATTATCATGAAACTTCTTTTAAATGAGCTGTACCACTGCAATTTATATATTAGAAAAATATGTTTAATGATTCTCAAGCTGTTTCAGTGACTTTCCCATATCAATTTCAAAACTGATATGAAGTAAATTTCTACACTTCTTCTCTGTTTAATTAAATGACAGATATTATTAATATTCCATTTAATGGAAAGATGATATTAATAAAACATAAATGGTACAGGATTAATTCCTCAGTCAGAATTTCTTTAAGTATGGGCAGTCTCTTGTATATTGATACAAAATATCAACCATGACTACTGTATCGTGAAATATGAAGAAGAGAGAGAACATAAAAGAGGAAAATTATTCCCTGACAAGAATGTTCAGACATAAAGCGTAAGAAATTCAATGATTATTATTACTTTATTGAACCAGAAACGATATGCATATTTCTTAAAGACTGGTGCAGCAGAGCCTGCTCTATGCTGACATTTGTTTTCCTAACTAGTAAGCAGGACAGTGACATTGGTTCATAGTGACTGTAAACACTCCAAGTGCATAGACATGGATCTTTCTTTGGTTTGCAAAATCCCACAAGGAGATAAACACATTTTCCATATGCTACATGATTCAAGTAATAGACTGGTGGCAAGCTATTATGTAAGATAAGCACTCACATTCATTTCCATCCAAATTTGTTGCAAATCAAAATAAGCCACAGATACTGAGATCCTAGTTGAATATAAGTGACTGGAAAGCTTTTATCTTCATTTGAGAGAAAATGTTCAATTTGACTAGGTGCTCATATATGTTAGGATAGTTTATCTTTATTATAATAGTAGAAATATATTTTTTACCTCCATAAATTACATTACCCGAAAAACACATTGGGAATAACAAAAACATCTCCTTTAAATTTTCATTAAAATGATCATTTCTCCTTCTGATTTTCAGAGGTGGCTCATCTTTTCTAATTTTTCTCTTCTGTGCTAGACTCCATTTCACATCCTGCTTAAATACAATATATTTCTGTGTATAGATCTCTTCCTGATGAGGTAGTATCATATTATTTTAGTCTAAGTGTTTGAATTGATAGTGAAACAAAACCTAAGTTATGATTCTGAGAATTTTTTTATGTACTCAAACGTTAACCCTATCTGTCCCAATCATCTATGGAAAGCACAACTACTATTTGTTTGTTTGTTTTGGGAGGGGCTGCTCCTGGGGCTTAAACTCTGGGTCTCTGTGCTATCCCTGACCTTTTGTGCTCAAGGCTATTGCTCTACTACTTGAACCACAGTTCTATTTCTGGCTCTCTGTGGTTAAGAATCTCACAGACTTTCCTGCCTGAGTTGGCTTCTAACTGTGATCCTTAAATCTCTGCCTCCTGAGTAGCTAGATTATATGTATGAGCCATTGATGTCTGGCACATTTTTAGTAAATCAATTTTCCTACCTTTTGAAGGTTTACATTAGATCCACACTTCTGGGGCAAGTTTTTCAGTGAAAAGTTTCTGTATGCCCCTATAAAGTCACAAACTTGAACTTCACTCAAATGTAGCAGCTTAAACATTTCAATAGTATATACTCTAAGAGTATTTGAATCTCTCTTTCCAAATTCTGACTAGGGCAGACTAGGAACTGACCAACTGCCTATGAAAAGTCTCGTGTAGGACAGGAAAACAGAGTGGAAGGAAAGTAAGAGATACACTTGCAGAATTCCCATGACAAGAATGTGTTTTTTACAGTTACAAGGTCATATATTCCATATATTCCTGACCTTAGATATATTTGCTTTATTGTAGAACTCAGAAAAATTTTCTTGCAGAAACAATGACTGTTTGCAGTTCTAATTCAATAAATCATTATCCCATTTGCATACATACAACATGCATTTCAGTACGGCATGGTTGAGACATCAGACATAATTAAGATATGACTTAATTGGAATCATTTTGGTGGTTATCATGTTTAAAATAACATTAATTCCACCCTCATGCCTATCTTCGCTCATCTGTAACAATTTGGAATTTATAAATGTAATTCATACAGTCATCCTGACCCACACACAACACAAAGAGACTACTAAAAGGAAAGTGTAATACATTATTGATGACACTAATGAAATTACAACACACATCACTCATGTTAATGGATCTGTTTCAATGACACATCACGGTGACCAGGAAAGAGCAGCACCAAACTCAGAAACTAATTAATCACTCCAAGAAACATCTGTGAAAGAGATGAAGTATCTTTACTCAAGTGACAAATCTTTCCCATTCAACTAAGGCAAAAAAAAACTGGGAGGGAAATGGATTTTGAAACAAAGGCATCTAAAAATCTTCATGAGTCATTTCCATCTGTGTGAATTAGCAAACCAATGATGGAAATGCTGGCTTCCTTTCAAATGCTCCTTCTTACATTCCTCAATGGGCATAAGATGCCACCCATTGCAAATCTGAATTAACATTCATTATACCACACGTTGAGAAAATCTTAAATGAAATCACAAGAAATAATAGGCCATGTCTTTCAAACCTGCTTGGGTCTACAGGCAGGATGCAAAAAGAAAAGGCCAGCTCAATTTCTGACAATTGTTTCTTATTATTGTAGGATTGTGCACACTGTACTCTGTAGTTCACAGTGGATTACCATATTTATATTGACATTAGAAAAGATTATTTAACTTGGATATCACATCCCTGAGAATTTACAAAACACATAGTTGTACTGTTGCTAGTACAAATAAATTATCTTTTTGGTTAAATTTGAGTTTGAATTCTCTCTTAATAAAGGCAAAATAGGAATTAGGAGCATTGTTGATATTGTCAAACTGCAAGCTCACAATGCAAACAACAGAAGCAGAAGGATATTTGTGATAGATTATTTGCAAAACTGGCACCCTGCTTGGGGTGTAGTTAAATGGTGTACTTGCTTACTGTGTAGGAGACCCTGAGTTTAAGCCTCAGCACAAGACAAAAAGAGCTGAATAAAAAAGAAACGCTATAATTATTCTTCTCCTTGTATACCAGAACCTTTAAAACATGACCATGCAACTCAGTCTATAAAGGGTGTATTCTATTTGCTCATGTTGAGCCCCTAAATCTGGTTTGGTTTTGGTATTCCTTGGACAAACAGTGTGTGGCGTATGTATAAATCAATGCCTTAAAGATCCTAGACACTACCTTTCTCTCACCCAAGCCATCATGTGATCAGTTCTGAGTTGGCCTGCTAGAAGAGAGGAGACTGCCTAGCATGCAAAACCAGCAGCCATCCATAAATACAGCCAGGAGATATCAAGCCCACCCAGTCCTCCTCTACAAGGGCCTAGCCTATGTGGCTACACTGAAGAACTATGAATTATTTTAAGTTTTAACTTTAAAGGCA